AAATACTGCGCCCGTACCAGTGCAAGGCAATCGAGTAATGTCCAATAATCTAAGTAAGCAAGCAACCAACCAAACAGCTTAGCTGCCMGCCAGCCGGCTCAACTAGGCACTCACTTAAGCGCTGTTGTTGCAGTCAAGCGTGCGATGAACCAGCGAACCTATAATAATGATAAGCTGGTTTTTAATCAGAAAATTTATTRTATATCTCTCACGTATCGCTTGGCGAGTCGAATTCGAGTTGATGATGGGTTATGGTTGGCCATAATTATAGGTCCTGTCAAATGCTAAATGAAAAGATACACATGCATATCAAGCAGAGAAGGGCGCACACATCTCTATATACCGTAGTATATTAAAAACCAAAAAAAAAAAAAAAAAATTTTATATACATATATATATTTATATGCGTATGTTTGCATGTGTGAATTGAGCACCTTTTAGTGTTATTTCAGATGACTTGTAAGTGTTTGTAGGTGTAGGTGCGTGTCTACAGTTTGGTTGCATAGTTTTTTGTTGTTGAGCAATTTATTTGTTGAAACATAATTTAGGATAATTTTGTAAACTTTTGTAAATTTTTTAATAATAATAATAGTATTATTTTTCTATGAAACTTAAGTTTATTAGCCGCAGCCTTAAAGTTTCTAAAGTTTTTTAATATTTTTTTAGTGGATTTTCACAGTTTTTTTTTTTTTTTGTTTGAGAAAAGTTATCGATTTTTCAATTTTTCAATATTTTATGTTATTTTGTTAAGATTTCGCAATTTTTTTTAATTTATTCTTAATTATTTATAATATGCAATAAAAAAAACTTACCACTTGCACTTGTGCCGAAATTGTCTGAAATTAAAAAAACAAATATTATTAGAATATATATAAACATTTAGAATATATTTTCATCGTGTTAAGCTTATTATAAACATGGTATTCGTTTATTTTTGTTTCGTAAGTCCATCTTATTAAATACAGCTTAAGTGTAGTCGCGCCTAGTTTTGTTACTGCCGCTTTTTTTCTTGAATGAAATTTTTGTTTGACGGACGTTGCACCTCAAAATACTTTTTAAGTCCTAATACTTAGCATAAAATTATACAAAACATAACACAAGCCTTCTCGAATTCTAAAATTCATTCATTCATGCGCACGACTAACCAAAATTAATCAATTTAATATGAAGCCATTAATAAATCTTTACTTGAAGCTACACGTTAGATTGTTTGTGACACGTTCAAATTCACTTGCCTTTAGAGTGTCATCAGAAAAGTAACAAAAACCCTAAAGACCGCTATATTTCACTATAAAACTACACAAAAGTGATTTTGTTTGCTTAAATCGATTTGGTGCCACTTTGTGATTTTCATAATTTTTTTCCGCTGATTTTGATTCATTATTGTTTATATGCACATAATAACTATGCAACAACTTAAGTCGCGTCCAAACAAAGTRAAATAAAATTTTTAAACCTAAAATAACAATGCTAATCCAGCCAAAGCCGTGATTTGTTTCGTGGCGTCGGTGTATTTTGGGGTTTTCACTAATTTTTTTTCTTCGCAGCAAATACACACATGCATAAAGTACGTTTGTTGTTGGTGTATAGTGTGGCCATATATTTATAACATTGTGGCTGTCGGTGTTATTAGCGAGTAAAAATGAAATATATGTTTTGCCATCAATCAAATTCGCGGCGAATGCGCTGTGCGACTGCGTGTGTTCATACGTCAGTGTGTGTGTGTTTTGAGGAAGCACAGGAGTGAATGAATGTACAAATGAATGAATGAATTGAAATTGGAATTAGATGGAATGTATGCCGTGCTTTTGGCGGACTGCAGATATTTTGAAAATATTTCGTTTGTGTGCTTTAAGAAATCCGTGAGCAAAACAAAACAAGAACAAAGTGTTTTTTAAATAAAACGCGTATTTAAGAAATCATATAAAAATTTGAGCTGTACATAAATCATGCCAGAGAATAAGTAAATTAAAGGTTTTTGTTATAATCAAGCTCGGGGCGTTAAAAAGGTTCCAACATGTGTGTTTCTTAAATGTTATTGTTTTCCGTATGAATCATGGGTTCGCTTGTAGGCGTGATCGTTTCACATTTTTGTGTGGCATCTTGCGATTCGTCATCGGCAAATCAATAAAAAAGCAAGCAGACTTTGATGTTTGCAGTATTGCGGGCAAGAGACATGTGTATATATTAAAATTTGAGTACGATATTAAGCAAACAAAGTTGAGATTTTTATTTCGTRTTTTGAGTGCTTCCCAGAATTTGCATAAATAGCAGCTAGAGCATGGGAAAAGGAATTAAAAAAGCTAATACTTAGAAGAAAAAAGATGACTATGAATAGCACGTGATTTAGAAACGGAATTACATTAGAATTTGTTTGATTTTCAATACTGGAATCATAAAAAACTTGAAATTACAAAAACAGGAAAAAACTTTATTCACAARTTTCAATACAAATATTTGATTTTGATGGTTCAGTTTGTATGGCGGCTATATGCTATAGTGGTCCGATCTGAAAAATATTTTGGGAAATTATTTAGTTGGTTTTGGCAATAAGCTTTGCCAAATATCGTGTAGATACCTCATCGAATAAAATAGTTGTCCATATAAGTACTTGATTTTTAACGTTCACTTTGTATGGCAGCTGTACGCTATAGAGAGTCGTTCTAAACAATTTCTGAGGAAATTATCTAAAATAATAAGGCAATTATCTATGTCAAATTTGAGGAAGATATCTCGGCGGATAAAAAAGGTTTTCATACAAGAAAACAATTTCSATCGTTCAGTTTGCTATGGCATTGKTCTGGTCTGGTATKTRGAATTTGCACAAGTGATTAGCTTCTGGGCGAGAGAAAAGGATATGTACCAAATTTCAGATTGATATCTCGAAAACTCAGGGACTAATTTCCGTATATACAGACAGGAGCATGTCTTAACATACTCAGCTTGTCAGGCTGATAATTTCTTTATATATTTTATATAGTCTCCTTCATTTCGAACGTGACAGTAAACTTAAAATGCCCTGTTCAGAATATACCATAATTGTCTGTATTCAAAAGTAATTTAATTCATAAAATTTATTTTTATAAAAATTGAGGTTCAAATTTATGAGTACAAAAGAAAAAATTTTATTGCGAACCCCACTAAATTTTTTAAATCCACAGCAAAATGTAAAAAATAATATTTTAATAAATTATTCACTCGATTTTAACTAATTTTAGTTAACCAATATTTTTTAGCGTATTTGAGTAACCCTCAAAAAAAATTAATTTTTTTTTCATTCATTATCATTTCGATAAGCGCTTTCAAAAGTGTCACTAAACTGCGCCGCAAGCCCAAATCAAAACAAACAAAAACAACAGAAAAAAAAACAATCAAAAAAATGCCGCAGAGTGTATAACTCCCTCAGTGCATAGCACAGCTTGTCACATAAATTCAGCTTAAAGTTATAAAAATATATAAATTTTTTCAAAAGCGAAACTTTTGCAATATATTTCCTTTAAATACGGCACAGAAAGGCACAGATCACAATGAATGCGTTGCCGATCGTCTTGGCACAGCCATAACCATTTGTCCCTAGTGAGCGACCAGCGGCTGCAACGCCGCACTTTCTTGTCCATTTTCCAACCGAATACAAAAAAAAGTCGCCACTTCAAAACTAAGCATAATAATTTTGCGCTTCAATGAAATGTGATCCGCCATAGGCGCGCGGTGAACGCATAAAAACACCGATCAAGTAKAAAGAGACGCGAAATTAAAAAATAAAAACAAAATATTCTGAAATGATGAAAGAAAACAAAATTAAAACGGCAAATAAAGAGTTAAAGATTAAATGAAATGAATGTAGCCAAGGTAGCGCAGCTAAATTTGAGTGCAAATACCTGCAACACACCTTAAAATCACTTGGGGATATAATCAGCAAACGCAACGCAACGCATCGCTATGGCATAAAGGAGCTAAGCTGATGGCTTTGCGCTAACTTGGAGGCTGTTGTTGGCTGATCGCGCAGAGATCTTCGAAAACTCATAATGAAAAAAGTGGCAATTTTATTTAYTTCCGTTTTTCATTTTCAGATTTTTAAGACTTATAAGTATAGAGTAATGCAAGGCAGTTATTTTTTCAACATTTTATTCAACCGCATTACTGTTGTTGCGATTTTTTGTTTTTGGTGTTTTGTGACTTAAGGTTTCTTCATTCATCTACGCGCCTGTCGCTCGCTGCGCGCCGCCATTCTTGCTTCGTGTTGCTCTTACTTGTAAGTGCATTGTGTAGATTTGTTGTGCGCTGYTGCTGCGGCTGGTCGAACACGCATTGAAACATGTTGTTGTGACAACAGTGCGCGCAGCTTCATCTTACTTCATTTCATGCTTTAAGGCTTCATTTCATCAGCGCCTCTTACATAGTACAAGCGCAGACCGTTTGTGCTAAATGCAGTCAATTCAGTTGACACTTGGCCGATCGAAGAGTTCATAAATAATCGTCTTAGCGGTGGCGGTGATGGCGGCGGTGTTGTTGCTGATGGGTCAGCGATTGATCGCGCCCTACCGGCAAGGTTGCCGCAAACAYATATGTATATATATTTATAAAGTCTATAAATATATATTGATATCGCCAACTGAGCTCAGCGACTATGTAGCTTACAAGCTTAAGCGCTCATTCGCACCTTGGTGCACGCGCGYGTTCTTATTTTTAGCACAAGCGCGTTGGTTTTATTTGGTGGCAGATTTCTTTCAAATTGCTGACTGACGTACTCCTACTCGGCAGACGGGCGCTTACAGTACAGTCAGTTGCACAATCAACACATTGTCAGCATTTAAACAGTGTTGCCTAACCGCCGCGACGCCTGTTGACAATTTCAAATTGTACGCGTCGCGCCGCATCGCTCCCTGTCAGCGATGGGATTTGAACGTGGTCGCGCCGCATTTTATATTGTTGCAAGGATTTCATGCCGCTGTTGAACAGCAAAATGTAAACAATGTTCTTAAGCATTCCACCAGCGTTCTTCGGAGATACACCGTCGACGCGTCGCGCGCGGGACACATTTACTGTCGTCGCCGACCGCGCTGTCATCTAAAGCGCTTTTGATTCTTCACTGAAGTTCCTTCATTWTAACTGACAAGTTTCTTGCGTCCCCTACAACACACGCTCATACAAATATAAAAATTTATGGTTGTATGTGTATATTCTTTGTATTTACTAATTTCCCTTCTGCCCTTCTGCCACCTAACCTCTTCTGTATGTTGTTTTTTTTTTCGATCTTCGCGCGCGCAATACACTTCGTCGCATTTAAATGACCGAAAAGTCAGTGCCGTCAGTTGATCTCATTTTAATATTCTAGATACTCAAATGAAATACGTGTCTGGCAGCGCAACAAACGTTTATTGTTTCGTTAATTGATTGTAAAAACATTTATATGCTCACAAACTACTGTCACACGTGTTGTTGCTGTTACTTTTGTGTTCATATACTCCGGTTTGTTGTTGTGTGTRCATGTGGATTTTGGTAGCGCTTGCTGCTGTTGCAGCACGTCCGTTGCATGCCGCAATTTTAAAATGCACGCTGCATCGGCGCAATTCACTTTGGCGAAAAATTGGTATGCAAAATCGGTTTGACGACAACTGTTGCGATGTGCGCATTCGGTTTGGTAGCGAAATTTGTTGATGTTCATTGTGCTTTTATTATTATTTTTCTGACTTTTTGTAATTTCTCAGCTCTTTTCGGTTATTTGCGAAATCTGGAATGCCAATTTCAGTAGCAGCAACTGTCTCCGCATTCTATTTGTCATATATTTATATATATAAATGTATATAAATAATGGTTTGTTGTTATTGTTATTGTA